CAAGCCCTGCCCTACATTTTTTTTCTAATTTTAGAAGCCGTTTCACTTGGATATACGTCACAAGGAAAAAAATGATAATCTCAACTTCCGTTTCACGCCGACTTTAAGCTCCAAAAATGACACGGAAACTACCAAAATTACCACAGACGCGGTCCAAGACTTGTTCACTACACTGCACATTTCTGAACTTATATGATAAATTGTGTGAGGAAAAGATCAACATTAAAGGATTAGTTAACTTTTAAAAAAACCTTTGCTGATAATTTACTTCAATGACCAAAATGACTCGAAAAAAGATTCGTTCATTTTGATGAACGAGTTCGAACAGGAGATTGCACTGAAACTCTCATTTGGGCCTTGAAACGTTGGGGTCCATTGAAGTGCATTATATGGAGAAAAATCCTGGAATGTTCAATCAAAAACCTTAATTTCTTTTCGACTGAAGAAAGAAAGACATGGACATCTAGGATGACATGGGGTTGAGTAAATTATCAGCAAAAGTTTTTTTTAAAAGTGAACTAATCCTTTATGTTATATACCAAATTTTTGTACTGAGGTGAATTTGCAGTCGATTGTAAGAAAAAGGCAGAATTTAAGTTAATTTTTAAATAAATAAAATAAACATTATGCATGAATGATAGGTTGAATTTTTATTCTAGGCCAACCTTAAACTCAAGAACCAGATAAGTTCTTGTTCCAGATGTTTTCAACAAATCAGTTGATTCAGTTCATAAATTTTGTACCATTTATTCACAAACCAAAGTGTTTTTCAAATCAGAATTCAACTCATAAACTCAACTCATTACGATTTTTGGATGAACTGCCTTTCCATCACTGGAATGTGGTGCTAAATTGTCGGTCACTTTGGTACATGGTGCAAAGTGATATTCCTGAGCAGTTTCCAGGGCAAATGTAGTCGCATTGCCTTGAAGGTGCTATAATGGACTCTCTGGCTCTGAGTGATGACTGGCTCAGGCGGATATATATCTCTTCAATGGCAGCGCCAGTGCTCATGGTTTCTCAGTGTGTTCAAAGTCACTTTAAGTGCAAGTCAGTCCATCTTGGTAACACTTAATATGTGCAACCATTTTTCTATATATGCACTACTGTCCAAAAGTGTGGAATCAGTGACACTTAAAGTAAGCAATACTTTAATTCAACAAGGATCCATTAAATGATCAAAATGGCAGTAAAAATGCTGTTCTTTTGAACTTTCTATTTATCAAAGCATCCTGAAAAAAAAAGGGTATCCACCAGAGCCGTCCTTCGGTCGGTGCAACCGTAAAAATATTACGACCAACCACAAACTTTTAAACGTAGTGCAAGTAATAGCTATACAAGTAAAGTTTCTATCTACTTCAATGAGGAAAGACCACAATTTCTAGAAAGGTCTTTATTTTCTCCTCCTCTCAGGTCTGTCCTCCTCACACTGTAATGCTGCAGAAGTGGCTGTTTTCATGGTTGATGCATGTGGTTTCAAACATCAATTAAAACAATAATCCCTGTGCTTGCAATAAAAAGCCACAAATATGTTGTAACTTGTTCTCATACTCAGAATATTACATCACGGATATGTAACCACGCATGTAAACAGGCAGTTTTAGTGTAATTATGAACAATTAATCGCAAAAAAAACTCTGATTAATCATGCAAGGGTGTGTTTGAATAAGGTTTGTCATTTAAAACGCACTAAATATGGAGTTATCGCTATGTACACATAATGAGGTCTATTTGTTATGCAAATTATGATTACGTAACACTGGATTATTATTGCTGTCTCTTTCCCTCACAAATCACATTCATAAGACGTCAAGTAGGATGCAAGTAAGCACCTTATCTTTTCTTTCCACATGTTCTCTTATGTCTTACCTCACAGTACAGATGATTTTACATTAACCACCTCAAACAAGAGGCAACCCTCCACACACACAAACACTATGCTGACTTGAACAACTGAAACAACTAGTCTACTACAGTAGTTCATGCCAAAGACATTTACTTCTGAAGCAAATTAATCCACTTTCCCTTTTATGCTATTGACGTTCTCATTCACCCATTCATCAAAGTCCAATAGCTGTACAAGAGCACAGTAAATGTCTAGACTATATATATATATATATATATATATATATATATATATATATTAGGGCTGTGCAAAAATTAATTGCGATTAATCGCATCCAAAATAAAAGTCTGTGTTTACATAATATATTTGTGTGTGCTGTTACTGTATATAATTATTTTGTATATATAAATACCTATGCATGTATATATTTAAGAATTCTTTTCGTGTATGTAATTAAATACATAATCTATATTATATAAATATAAATATTTTATATATGAATAACACATTTTCTTAAATATATACATGCATGTGTGTGTATTTATATATACAAAATAATTATATACAGCACTAACAAATATATTAAACAGACTTTTATTTTGGATGCGATTAATCGCAATTAATTTTTGCACAGCCCTAATATATATATATATATATATATATATCCTATTTAGCATATGGTTTATTGATACACTGAAAACAATTGGTGTAGAAACAATTTTCACTCAGGAATTGCTAGTAAATCTCACAAATAATTGCATAGAATTAGCAAAGTAACGCATTTAATTTAAAAAAAATGGTTTCAAAAGTAGTTGATAACAATAAGAAATGTTTCTTGAGCTTCAAAGAAGCATATTAGAATGATTTCCGAAGGATCAAGTGACACTGAAAATTCAGATTTGCAATCACAGGAATAAATAATCAAATCCTTTTATAATCCAAATCCATTGCTATAAAAGCTAGTTGAAACATGTTGTTCAAATAGTAACTAACATGCAACTTTAGATTCATTAATCTGATTTAATCCCTTTTCTAAATAAAATAGTGCTTTTAAAACTAGGAACAATAGAGCACAGTTTCTTTCACAGTGGATTAGAAGGGGTGGCGTAAACTAACAGAACAATGAAATAAAAGAACATTTTGAAATGGGGAAAAACATTCCTAATAGCATTAGAGAAACATTTCCTCATTGCTGCGGTTCAAATGTAATAAAACACATTGAGGCATTAAGAGTGATGAAGAAGCGGGAGGGAGAGCGAGAGGGTTGTGAAGATGACAGAAAGACAAGACAAGGAGGGACAGGAACGTCAAAGAGAGAGAGAGAGAGAGAGATGAGGGTGTGGGCTCATCACTCCTCCGCACCGCTATCAGACTCAGCACCTCGGGCTGGCGCAGCGCCATCGAAGCCATAAAACAGAGATGGGCCCCGACTGGCACCATCTAACGCTGACGCCCACCCATCATAACATCTCATCATATCCCATGACTGTCCTCATCCTTATGCGCAACATTACACTGCTGGAATTACTTTTTATTCCCATATGGATAACAACATATGATATGACAGCAAAAAGATATATAAATTAATGCCCAACTCTCTCATACACACAAACAACAACATGCATCAGCTATGCTGTCTGCAGATTCCTTTTCCACGTATGCAAAAATATGCATTTCATCATAAAAACCCTCTAGTTGCCTGGTTTGACCCTGGTAAGATGAAAGTTAAAGGCACACTATGCAAGATTTGTACCTTAATATAACAGCTTCAAAGTCGTTTCGGTGGTAAACAAAGTCATAGTAGGTCGAATCATCCAGGTGTAAAGCTTGGGGGGGACGCCGCTGGAAAAACTAGCAATGCAATTTTAAGAGTGGCACCCCCGACAAATCTCGCGAGAATCACAAAATAGTTTATGGCAACGACGTCACACACATTAACAACAACATATGAAGCCACTAACGCGCATCCAAGAAAACTCGGTCAGACCCAGAAATGTCAAGAAAAAGGAAAAGAGAATCGGACCATGCTAGAAAACGGACAAGAGTCCACTTGGTCAGGCTTTCACTCGTTGGCGCGAGCTTAAAAGCAGATGCTGACCTGGCGATCTTGTTGATGGACTTGTAAGTAAATCTCTTATTTGTAAACTTTTTTGCGTTCTATGTTGTATGTTGCTGCGCTGGCTTGTAGTATGTCATTTTTTACAGTGCTGTTCATCCATTGTTGATAATTAGACCAGTTCAATAATTCCCACATAAGTCTAGCTAGCTTTCGATTAGCAGAGCTGTGAGCAGACTTCCTAACAAACAGTCGTTTCTCTTAGTTTTGTTTGTTTCGTTGTTTTATTGCCTAGCTTGGCAAAAGAGCTAGTTTGCCAGCTGAACTCGGGTGTTGTGATGTGTATTTATCATGTAACGTTAGTCCTGTGTCTGGTTCGAATTTCTTATGGTGTGCGTAAGTTACTGTGCAAACTTTAGCTGACTAACAGTGCACTTCCCGACTGTAACTTTACTTCAAATTGTGTTGATTATGAGTCAATTAAATCTTGACGCTGTTGATGTTGATTCCTGCGATTATCATGAGGAAATAGTCAATACCTCGTATAATTATTAGGACATATAAGCCTAGAGGTTGTAAATAGTGTAAGTGAGCACAATTTGCTTACTATTATGATAAATTGTAAAAATCATGTCAAAACCATAACGGCCAATGTTATGAAATAATGCGACGTGCATTTAACTTTATTGATGTCATCTGACATTTTCGTAATGTTTACATTACAATCAAAAAAACACATGAAATTATACATTAGTCCTACACTATTTACTTGTGATTTAGCTGAAATCTTGTAAAAACGTTATAAGCCAGCAAATGCGATTGGCAACTTTATTATTATAAAGTAGTTTAACACTTGACATATATTACCATCATCTGTAGTTCAGTAAACTGCAGTAACAGTGGAGTTACGGTTATTTACAACAGTGCAAGTACACCACAGCGGCTCTAGGGGTCGCTGTTTCACAAAAACTTTAGAGCTGCATAGTGTGGCTTTAAAGGTTGACAAACTTTGCCTTCAAGCTCCAAAACAATATCAACCAATGAATGACCTCTTTGCATATGAGGATATGCAAACGTATATACAGTTTAGCGACTCACCTCTTTTTTGAATGATAATTCGAAGCAGCGGATTTGCTGAGGACAGTGCTTTGTGGAAGTTGTCATCATTGTTAATTGGAAGAAGATCTCCGTGGATGTCGGCATATCCCAGCAGCACGTCCACTCCGGGGATTCTGTGAATGGTCTGAAGCAGTTGGTAGAATTCCTGGAAGCCCCCAGCTCCCTTCTTCTTCAGGGCAAACCTTCGGTACTCCGCCTCAAACTGCAGGACAACCACAAACATGTTAAAACATATCAATAAACACAAAATAAGCTCTTCTCGCACAGTGCTTAGCTTGGTAGATTAATTATGACAGATCACGACCCTGTAAGAAATGTTAGAACTTTTATTAATGACAATTGACCGTACATAAAGACCCGCCCCCTTTGGTTAGTGTTGCTATGTCCGACAAGCCACTCCAAAAAATACATCGCGAAGCAAAGCGGAAACTGACAAAGCGCTGACAGACCGATATTCTCTCAACCTTGGTCATTTTTTACAAGAAATGTAAACAATAAATACCGTTTTGTGGCTCTTTAATGGTAAATGGACTGCATTTATATAGCGCTTTCATAGACCCAAGACATCAGCACACAACGTTTCTCAAGTTCAAATTCGCCGACGTTAATCTACTGACTCTCCTGACTGCTTTGTTGGACAAAAATGGTGGATGATGATTGGTCAAATGATCACCTATCAATCAAACTCCCTGCGAAGGGTGAATTCCAATTTCTGGAAAGATTTTCCCTTTGAAATTAAGGGTACGTTTAGTTGTCTACATGACAATGATATATTTTGCAGTTTTTTCAAACAGACAACAATGTTGACAAAAAGATTTCTCTTCACACAGATAAAAACACTGTATCATTATGCATGCCAGGCCAGTAGGTGGCGATGTTACTTTGTAAAGAAAAACTACGCGCCTAAAGACAGAACACGTAATATGCATGTGCATGACCTCACCGTTTTCACAAATTTGCGTTTTTGTTGTTTACACCGAGACGATAAGGGTATAGTTTTCAGACCCGTTTACAATAGTTTGCGTTTTCAGGCCCCCAAAACGCTGTTGTTGTGTAAATGAAAGGCCAAAACAATGCATAAAAAGTCATGTAAACAGCCCTTTAGACAGACTTGGGCATGCAGACACATTCATTGGCAGTTCTTTGTACCGATTTTACTTGCTCCGGCAGCTGCTGAGTTGTTTGATGTGCACTTGCGGCTCTGAGGAAGCCATTAAGGTAAAAAAGCAATGAGGAACAAAGGGAGGGTCAATCTAATCAAGTGCTACAGATAAAGAGAAAGATGAGAACAATGGCATTAAAAAGCTGAGCTTCTCCAGACCACACACACTCACACACACGGATGGGGAATTCATCTCAAGAGCTCAGCTGAACATATTGGACAAAATCTGTCAGATTGCTCAGTTTATGAGGAGGAACTGCGTCGGGGCCAAAGATTTTCTCCTGTATGCATGAAGAATAACTTGAAGAGGAAGATCATATTGTGGATAATTTGAATAAGATCATTCGGTAGTTCACATGGGGTGTTTTTTAAGGTCCCATGTTCCCATTCACAAAAATAAAACCAAAGGCTTTTTTTCTGTGGTCGATAGTCAGAATGAAGGACATTGACATCTAGGGACTGAAGCTTCCAGACATATTGGTTTTCTTCTTTCTTTTTTTATATCGTTGTGTTGAAGTTATGTGTATAATATGGACATGTATAGTAGTCATATGACTACTTTTATAGCCCAATCAATTCATGTTGGATAAAATCAGGTCTTACATTTTTTTTCGTTCTTGTTTCTTTCAGAAATATGTCCGATTACAGACGTAAAATACTTAAAATGTGTCAATAAAATTATTTTTAACTTTTCCTCACAGGCATTGCGTAACATACAGTATATGAACATATTCATCATCCCACTTCTAAACATTTACATTTACGCCCTTTATTACAACCATCAACACCTTTGAAACAGTTGCATTTGTACTAAAATTACATTTGAGCTATTATTATGAGTTCACATGAAAAATGTGATCACCACCACTGTAACCATGGCAATAAAGATAAAAAGGTCATACCTGTCATACTTTACCAATAAAAGAATAGCCTCTTGGAAAAATTACATCACTTTAAATTGCTCAACAAACTACTTGTCAACCTTAAACTACTTAAAAATGCCTTTGCAATGACTAAGCAATAGATAGCCTAATATGAGACAGGAAGGATCCCATTAAGAGCTGGAAAAGTAGAAAAGAAAACAGTTCATACCAATTTCCTCTCAGGAAGAAGAGTGTCACCAAACACATTGCCTGTTACGAAAACCCAAACCTCATGCAGGAAGATTTGAGTTATTAAATTAGCTAGTTAAGGCAGAAATAATAATAAAAAAAGACACTATATCACCTCCAGACCTGGAACTTCACTAGAATCCTAGATGACCCTCCTGTGTTTACTATTCTCATCTTTCAATTCGCACACATCTATGCACTGCCCGCCTAACATTTCTCAAGGAAGTATAAATAATAAAACATATCCTACTCTGTTTGGCAGATTGTGGTTGAGGTTTTTCAATAAGTATACCGAGCATACTGACAACAAATCTGTGTCTTAGTAATAATAAGAGGCTATGATGAGGAAAACAATAAAAACATGAAACATTTTAAATATCAATACAACATTAGATTTTTTCCCCCCAATTTTCCTGTTGATATTCATTCATGCACCATCATATGTAATGTAAAGATTGTTTCCTCTCATAAATGAGATCAATATGTATGACCTGTTTATCACAATGACATTTTAATTGGTTAAATACTATTAAACAACAGCTGGTCTTCTAAAACAACAGTTCTCAACCAGGGGCCAAGCAACTAGGGGGGCTCAGCAAACTTCCAAAGGGGCCAAAAGATTCATTTAAAAAAATATCAACAAAAACTCAACTAAAAATCTTTTTTTCCTTCTCTTTGCACAAACACTTGGATATGCAGTATGCACATCAAATTTGTTCACATTTATCTGTGTAACGGACAGAAACGATTCTGAAGAGAAAACGCAAAAGTGGTGTTGCGTTTCACTTTTTATTCTGCGTTTAGACGAGCGTTTTGGTTGGGAAATCCGCGTGCATATGGTGACACAAAAGTGTGTGATATTCAATGAAGTATACACTCCAGGCGGCTAGGTGGCGATGTGGAGCACTGTGGCGGTGGAGCGTTTTTAAGATTTCAACTCTGGAGGGTGGTTTCACTTTTTTGCGTTTTTAAGCCCCAAAAACGCTGTCGCCGTGTAAACGAAAGGCACATCCGATAAAATATTTTTACATTTTCACCCGCGAGCGTTCTCGTGTAAACAGGGCCTAAGAGCTAGGAGTGTAAACCTCATTCCCCAGGCCTCAAGAGGCCTCCCACGCCAGACACCCCGCTCGAAGCGGGTTATAGGACTGGCTACATTTGGCGCGATGATCCGGATTGGAGTGAGGTTTAGGGGGTGAGTGTAACGGACATAGGCCAGTAAACGCTGTGTGTATAAATCTCACTCCCCTGGCCTCAAGAGGCAAGTGTCCTCATTAGCGCACCCCCCACCCATGATGGAGAACCCGGTTTGAATACCTTTCAGAGCAGGTTGAGTAGGACCGGATTTATGTTAAGAGTTTTTTTTATCTAGGTTTTTTTTGCAACCAACTGACCAATTAAAGTTGTTAACCAACTGAACCAAGTCTCTTCTCATCACCAAACGTTTGGTCGACTATTATGATGCATGTTTCACTGTTCACTGATATTAGAGACCCGATTTCGAGGGAGGACCTGATTTGTCCACACACCTGAGGATCACAGAACGTTTTGACAGGGGTCGTTCCGTTCCACTCATAGACATCGATCCAGTCCGGCTTTTAGTTTTGTGTTGCTTGGCGACAATCAATAATGTTTTAGCTTCTTTTGGAACTATTTTCACCAGCAGAGAAGAAATATACAAATTAACCCGTTAATATGTTATGAAACGTGAGATTTACATTTTTATTTTTTCCAAATACATTGGCAATAGTCCTGTAGCACTAAACATCAGCAAGATTATGATCACCTGTGGCCTCGTGCCAGCTGAATTGAATCCCAAACAGATCCACTTTTGCTCGCGTTTTTTGTTTGTTTGTTTTTTTATTATTATTATTATTAATACCTGCTTATTTTAATTGATGAAAACAGGGGAATTTATTTTAGGTGAAGACCCTGAACCGGCGTCTTATCGAATTTATGTTGTACACAGCTCTATACGATCAATGCATCATCTGATTCCTCTTGGACTGCGGGATTCGGATCTTCGCTGTTGGTATACGTAACATGCATAATCGATCAACAGGGCCCAATCGCCTCATTGCGCACGTCTGTCTATATAGAGTTCTTCTTCACACTGCACCAGAACCGCATATCACATCACACGAACCGAACAGAGACCTGCTGTCATAATGATCCCAGCCAAACGCGCTCGTCTCGCGCCTCGTAGTCTGACACATCCAGCACCATCAGCGTTTCTTTCTATGGATGGATTAGTACACAAACCCCTACACTGGTGATGCGCCGGATTGAAAGCCCTCCAATTACGGGCACGCTCCCGTGGAGGGCTCCGTAAACAGCAGTGTTTACATTATGCACGCTGTCAAATGCAACATTTATGGGATTCACTTACTTTGCTCTTCACCTCCACCACACTCTCCTCGTTTTTCAACGGCGTCCTTTGATGCCGTGACATGTTTGCGGTGCGTATATTCCCACGGGCAGTATCGCACTGTAGTGCCCCGAGATACAGGAGTCAGCAGCCAGAGAGAGATTGTGTGCGCAGCATGAGTGACCTGACAGTCGCGATCCGCAATACTGCTTCACAGGCACGAGCTGAATGATTTGTTAGAGCGGTTCTCCCGGCGGTGGGCGGGGCCTGTGCCTTTCAATAACACTGACGTCAGGCGGACCGCCGCTAGAAGGCGTGGTCGTGCGTAATGTCACATCATATGTGAGCATAATTTTCCTTTGACCCCCTCAGGGTGGGAAATAAAAAATTCCTCATGACTCAGTGATCTCTCATTGTGTTAAAAGATATTAATAAACAACATCAAATGACGTCATGAGCCAATAAGAGAAGGTTCAGCGACATTTCCATTCAATGGAAGAGGAAAATCCAGATCCTCAGGAAATATCCGGTTTGTTGTGATTAGGAGAGACTGGGGCTAGTTGTCACATTTTTTTCGGCAGTGAATATTTCTCAGGTTTTTTGAAAGCCTAATTTCTATATTGGCACATAAAATAAATATTAAACATATTAAAATAGCACTGCTTTAAAGTGTCTGCCTGTTCTCTCGAGTTAATGATTTTACAGAGCAGATATAATTAGTACATTTCCTTAAATGTTTCCGAGAAGAAGAGCACGCCTTAAGGTTTAGAAAATACTAGAAATGAGAAAAAATCTTGCATAAGAGAAACTATTAAAGGAGTAGTTCTCTTTTAAAAAAAACTTTTGCTGATCATTTACTATTTGGTTCCTAATGAAGTCCATTATATGGAGAAAAATGCTGGAATGTTTTCATCAAAAACCTTAATTTCTTTTCGACTGAAGAAAGAAAGACATGGACATCTTGGATGACATGGGGGTGAGTAAATTATCAGAAAAAGTTTTTTAAAACACAAAGCTGACATTTGCTCACTTTTTTTCATCGTCTCCATCTTTAGTCTATTTGAGCCGCTGGTCTTAATTAAACCTTCCCTTTCTTGTGTTTTCCTTGTTGTGTGTCCAGTGTCTGCTCTGCACACCCTCTTCACGGGCCTCTGTCCAGCTCGGATGATGATGGAAAGCAGAAGAATGCTGGAATGTGGAGGGAGATGATAATCCTGCTGCTCATCGCAACGGTCAGTACTTTGATCTACTTTGCATTTGGTCTAGACCCAACAATTTCCTGGAATATAGCATAGAAATTAAGTTTGAAAACATGTGTATTAGTGACTCAGCTGACCCATAAGGTATTTGGAAAAAGGGGGTGTTTTGGACAGTCTTGTTTGGTTCTTGCAAACTCTTCAACATTTGATTATAAATGGGGAAATGAAATGCCTGGAGCATTTTCAAAATATCTTGACCTTACCAAGTAGGCAATGAATGTTCTCTCCTCTGGTTCACCCATGCACTCATACGTAAAGTATTTAACCTGTCAAACCAGATGTTTGTTAGATAAGTACCTGCTGAGGTTTTAGGTCTGTGGAGTGACATTTCACCTGAGAAGCAGAAACCCGAGAAGCAGTTTAGAATAAGTCATCCTTTCTAAAATGTCTTATAATCTTATATTAGGCATCACAGGAGGACAGAGATGGAGGTGATGAGACCTTCAAAATACAGAAAGTCAGGTGGTAAACCTGAAAGGAAAAGGTCCGTTATACTCACCCACAGAATATTCGGTTTTTAAAACAGGGTCTATTTAAGTTTGTAGTTGCTTAGGTGTTGGATGCTTAAGAATGTCAGCTATTCAAGAGAGGTCTGGTTTGTACAAGCTGATAAGATATGTAATACTCCCACCTCTGCTGTTCATCTGGTCTCATAATCGGGGAAAAGGGATGAAACTGCACTTGAATTATGAGAAATTGTTGTCTTCACTATATAACCAGTCGGTTTAGATAAGTTACTCTATGATAATATGAAAAAGCAGCCTCCTAACACAATAGTTCTTACTTGCCAACTCACATAAAATTACATAGATGTTTCATACCTCAGTCATGTCAGCAGAATGTCAAACATGCCGATCATACCTGTCTGGAATCTGGAAAGTATGTTTTTGTTCTCTGACCACACAGTAAGTTATTCAACTCAGGTGGTTACGTCCCTATTGTACCATGTTGGTCTACTTGAGAGTGTATTTAAAAACAGAATTATCATTTCAAATTACTATTTTAAACGAAACGGTCAACGCACGACTGTTTTTAACGTTGACAATGATGTTTATTGAGCACCAAATGAGCATATTATAGTGGAGTAATGATGCTGAAAAAAAGATGAATCCCATTTTAAAATATATTTCATTAAAAATAGATATTTATATTTCACAATTACAGTATTTTTGATCTAATAAAAGTAATGTTGGTGTGCATAATAGACTTAGATTGAGTTCTCAGGTCAGAACAAAAGCAACTTACACCTGGTGAAATTGTATGAAACAGCACTGACTAAATGGTCGCAATTACAACTAAATTACAATTTAAAATGTTTTCAGGTCAATTTCTGTGCATTTCTATGCGTTTTTGTTGAATATCATCTGAGTGGGTGTAGAATGTGTGCAGATAATAAAAAAAATTACAGATAGAAATCATTTCAAAAGGTTCATTTGTAATTTTGAAGCAGTTGTCAGAGAAACTTAAAGGGATAGTTCACCCAAAAAAAAAAAAAACACCACTCACCCTTGAGTAAGTTGTTTCTTCTGTTGAACACACAAAAAATACATATGATAATACATAAGAATGTTGGTTATCAAACAGTTGGTGAGCGTGAGTAAATGATGACAAATTTTTCATTTTGGGGTGAACTATCCCTTTAAAGGGGTCATGGGTTAGTGCGTGCAAGGTGCATGAAATGTTGGGACCACAATCAACACAACATGTGGACACTGGACAGACAAAAATATCTTCTTAGAAAATGGATTGACGTTGATGTGACACAACAAATACAATCAGTATGACCACAATGGCAGCATCAAACTACTTTTGAATAACCATTTTAAAAGATTAGTTCATACAAAAATGAAATTATTCCATAATTCAGACAATTATGGTGTATATGACTTTCTTCTTTCAGCCAAAAAAAATCTTATATTATAAAATATCCTGCCTCTTCCAAGCTTTATTATAGGGGTGAATGGTACCACAGATTTTTTATCCCAAAAAATCATAAATCATAATTCCATCCATCATTAAATAAATGCTTAATAAATTAAATAAATAAAGGGTTAATAAATGCATTCTAAAAGTAAGCAATGCGTTTTAATTATTTTATATATAAATAATTGTTTTTTTCTTAAATACACATGCATGTGTGTGTATTTATGCATATAATCATACAAAGTGCACCCACATATATTATGTAAACACAAACTTTTATTTTGGATGCGATTAATCGTGATAAACAGTTTGACAGCCCTATATATATATATATATATACTGTATATATACATTTATACATAAATAATTAGTTACTCCTAGTACAGCAATGAGCATTACGTCTGTGGCGCTCCACACATGGAACAGACGTACAGGTTGTGGAGGAAGAGATGTGGAATGTTTGCGTGGTTTTTCGAGGTGTGTGCGCATTTATGTGTGAGGAATGCTACCAGACGAGCTGGTACACTCCGCTTGGAGGACTTTACATTCCCCTGTCTCTCCCACATCCCTCAGCAGGTTACCAGACCCAAGCCGCCAGCCTCTCAGTTGCCTACCCAGCATTCCACAGGCTTTAGCTTAAACTAGGAAAAAAAGTATTCCCGGTCATGGTACACTTGGCCTCTAGCTTGAGGCTAATGCCGTCTGTGATGTCACACAACTTATAAGAACAGACCAAGGAACAGGGAAGCACTTGATCGCTGACTAGTCATGACATGGCAAACATGTGTGGGAAATTTTAGTATGCCCACCTGTGCCTGGCCTAAACACTCCATTTCTCTTAACAGCTGATTTTAATGATTTTCTTTCTGGTCTATGAGCCCTCGCCACCTCGCCACAGACTGGCATCGCTTTAGTCAGTATGATGGAAGTACATGAATATTGGCCACCGGCCTCCTATCTGAAATCTGAGAGCTCAAGCTGGAATGTGAGACGTCACCTGGTCGCCATGGTTACGTGTCTCTATCAGCTGCTCTTTGTCCTAGTTTGAGAGGAGGACAGGCTGTTTTGTGTTTTTTCTCTGTTGTGAGTGCTTGTGAACAGGTATGAGAAAGAGTCAGTTATAGTCTGTTTTGTGTCTCTTGTGTTTGAGTGTGATAAAAGATCAGTGTGTTGATTTACAGATGACCTTGACCTTAAACTTGAAAAAAAAAAGTTTGCTCAACTCCAGGTTCTTTTCCAATGATACTTGTTGGAGTGGGGGTGTGGGGGCGGGGGCAGCGGGTAACCTCTTTTTTTTTCCCTGGTGACATAAGTGATTCTGGTCTGCCACCTAGTGGCCATAGTGTCTAATTGTATTCACTTCTGCAGTATACTGTCAGCATCTTGTGATTTGTGTAATGTCCTCCCGTCAGAATCAAATACACTAATATAGTCAGTTCTTTAAATCTAACTTTTTGCAAACGTTTTAGACTATTTTTTTTTATCATTTTTTATTTTTGTTTTTTGTTTTTGTTAAAAATACTTTCTCTCATTAAAAGATATATTCTGTGAAAACACAATCTAATCCTACACAATTTTGCCTTTCAAGTAAATTTATTTCGTTTTAAGGATGTAGATATTTTTATGTGATACTGTGGATTGTTGTACCAACACTGACTAAGAAAATGGCAGCATAACAGTAATTCCTTAAAAGTTAACCATTTAAAATGAGTAAAGTTTACAACAACAACCAAAATAACATACATGTAAGTCTGATCGGTGTTTGTGTTAGGTTTGTTTTAAAATTACAGCTTTCTCCTTCAGTGATTCTGCTTGTTAACATCAGGTGCCTTCAATGTTGGTAATATAAAATAAAGAGTTCTTAATTAATCTTTGACGTCTGCCTGTTATTTTTGTTACATTTTTTGTATAAACTTTACTCATTTTAAATGGTTAACTTTTAAGGAAAAAATTGATTAATTATTTTGTATTTTGCTTGTAATCTGTTGTCACAATTCTATTGATTAGATAAAGCATATGCATTTTTACACTGCACCTGCATGTTCTGGAAAAAGCTTTTAGTTGTTAC